GTGCAATCTATTTTGTTGGAACTGTGTCTTAGCGAGTCCTGTTAGAAGACGTATTGTTGATCGAACGACCGTTTCATATCTAGATTTTCCGTGTTTATTAGGTGTACGAAGAGAAACAATTTTAAAATGGTACAAGTCGTTTTCGTTGGCAGATTTCATGTTTTGTTTCGACGTTATAGACGTTCTATAAAAGTGACCCATTTACGAGAACATATATTCTGCATTAGTCGTTGAAAATCGATTGTTTCTTTTTATCAAAGCTCGATCATTAGTGTTAAAATATTCAGCTCTACGGGTGATTACGAGTCACGCAATCAATAAAAAAAAAAAATCGAACAAGTTGTGAGACAACAAAGATTTGGAAAGAAATTTTATACGTTAAATGGAAATAAAAACGAAGATAGCAATAAAATTTTCTAAATTGTAGTAAATGTATGCGTAGTTGAAATTACCATGGGAAGATTTTCAACATTTGATCGGTTTCAAATGTTTTTTACGTGTTACGACTGAGCATAGATTTCTTTCATCGAGAAGAGAAGCAAAAAGTTGATTCATTGGTATTCAACTGGAAATTAGTTGACGATTGAAAGCAATAAATTTTTTACCGACGGATTTAATCATTTCAATCGAACGAAATTACGCAGATTTAAACATTCGTCTATCCATCGAACAGTTTCTAAACTTATTATTTATCGTAATTTTTTTAAGAGGTCAAACGAACGATTCGATCGATTTCAATAAAAATTTTCTATTATCGGAGTCCTGGTTGTCGTATTTCCGATTATTTTTTTATATGATGAAATGATTTGTAAATAAAGTAATAATAATAGTAATAATAAGATTAATGAATTAGAATTAACGAAAGACACAGAAACCTTTGTGATGGATGGTTACGTTTAATAACGGATATAATTAACGAATAATTAATGGATTGCGCATCTCGACCAGCTTTAATTATTGTTAATTACCGAGTATTAGATAAACCGACAAATTATTCATTGATCAACGAGCTAATTTACTTAGGGAAGCAGAGGATTCACGGAACTCTTAATCCTAAGCGAACGATTAATATAGAAGTCGCAGAGGTGGATGTAATTCAGTACACGTATACTTGTCCACACGTTTTTTCTTGTGATTTTTCATGGGTAATCATCGTGGTTAATCGACCTCACGGTGAATTAGGATAGGTGGTAATGCCTGTTCTACCGTGAATCGCGTGGAGGCGTGAGAAACTAACAACTCGCTGGACAATTAAAAAGAAAAATCAATACGCGGTGGGTTCGAACTGCAGATCACCGCGGAGGACGGTTTTAATTAGTTGAAAATAAATGAAATGTAAATTGAAACTCGATCGAACGTAACTGAAAGTAAAAACTAACAAACGAGAAAATACATAAAAAAAAAAGGTAAATCGAGAATAGTTTAGAGATTTGTTAACGAATTTTAAATTGAACAAAAGGAGTGAGAGAATGTTGCGAAGATTACCATGCGACCCAAGGGGGAGAATGAGTTCTTCGTCGAGCAGAGAGAAAACCGTGACCGCGAGAAGGGGGACGTGTGTGCGTGCGTGAGAGAGAAACAACAGAAAATTTATAATAATATACGAATAATCTAGATACCAGATAACGAGATGATATACTCCATGCCTTACATAGATTTATCTAAGCCTAAGTAGTTGTATCTAATTAGTCATATTAATTGAGATTGATTCGGTAAACGTTGGGGCCGACAGCGAATATTACTGATGTAATTCCAACTTCTCTTCATTTCGTAATCTGTCTTAATCTGTTCTTATACCAAATTTAATTACCCTTTAGTTCACCCAGGAAATTGCTGACAAATCTACTATTCGGTACACAGAAAAAATGCGAGGCTCGACAAATTGTTTGGTCGTCTGGAGAAACACTTTCATCGGCGATTTACGATAAACAGATGCACGATAGTTGAAAATATTTATATACCATTAGACTCCAATTGTTACTAAACAGAGTCGCCAATGAGGGCTTTCGATAAACGGACGAATCTTCTAACTTGTCCAGTAATTTCGCTGTCGGCCAAGCAATTTCCTCAATCAATTTGTATCCCTAATTAGAGTGGAAAGTGGCGCTGATTAACGAGAGATCATTTTGAAAATTCAACACGTAACAAGTTCAGAATTCTATTCTCACGATGTTCCAACCTTTTTAGAAATGAAAAGAATAATGCNCTTTATTCAATATAATTTATATCCTTTATTACTGTTAATTGCATTAATTATCTGATAAACTTAATCACACTTTTTAAAGTAATCGAACACGAAAAAGGAATTAATAATTACGCGAATGATTCGCGATTGGGAGAAGTTTAAGAATCGATAGCTTCGGTACTTATTTCTATAAACAAGTTTTCAAGTATAATATTATCGTCGAAATATCTCTTAAATGAGAAACATAATCGCTTCGGTTATCTCATATATTATTTGATGCTCTATTCTGTTGTTTCTGTTGGCATACGATAGATTTGAAAAGCTACCCAAAGAACGTGCAACTGAGAAACTTAATTAGAAACGTAAAGAGAATGCGACTGGCTCACGTGAAACGTTAAATGCCGAATCGACGTTAAAACGTTTTATTGAAAAATCGTTGGGAAAAAAGATTTGAAGAGGCTCAACGCTCGTACGTTGTGCATCGAGGAAAACCTTGATAGCTGATAAAAAACGCTTCATCAATAGGCAATCGATTGAACTCTTGCATTATTAACGTTCGATTTTTGATGACGATGTTAACAATTTACGTGGAACTGTCCTGCAACGATTCTCTGTAAAGAACAGTAAGTATCGTTGTTGCAAAATATTTCACGGATATAGTTTTATGGCAATTTATACAACGATACGAAAGAGATGTTGCGAAAATTGTATTCGTGACTATTTTGCAAGTTACGATACCGCGTCGAGACGTTCCACCGTTAAATAACGTGTACGTCATTTTATTTGTTTGCGAGAAGGATTATACGAAACGCTGCGTTGCGAAATGAAGATTGTACAATTTTCGCGGCGAGTAATATAGTTAGTTCACGCGAGACAACAAACAATAAAACTTGAAGTGATGGCAATACCGACGGCCTCCTCTCGTAAGTTGATTAAGTATAACGGGAGGAGTGCCCGCGGTTGTGATAAGCAATTAGTTAAGTTACGATTAAATTAGCTGATCTACTAATTGATTAATTTTAGATGATCGTCCTAACCGGTTAGTGCGGCTTCATTGTTCTGATTTGTTGTTTGTCATTTCTTTTATTCTTTCCTGTGTTATTTTTAATAAATTCACGGATTATTTTGTTTAAACGTCTGTCTGTTTATTTATTTATTTACACCCGTTTACCCTTCCCCTGTTAACATAATTATGTACGTACGTATGTACACTGAATGCATAGAAACTGTCTTACAATTAGACTAGCATTCGTCAATTATTTCTGCCAAAGCGTCGTTCAGCGCCATTTCTCACGAGATCCTGAGTCAATGCACGAAATAACAGCAATAAAAATGATTCTTAAGCGATCACTATCCAATATTGTTAATGATAATTATATGAAAATTTAATAATTCGAGCTGTGAACATTGACGGAATGAAATTAGCGAAGCGATCGAACGACATTCATTACTACTAATAAGTGATTAAAGTCATTTTTAATTCACTTCTTCTGTTCAACACTCGCCATTCAGATTAAAAATGATTTTATAATTTGGCTGTTTATAAAAATTAGGGAAAAGTTTATACGCGAATCGCTTCGCGAATTTCCTTTGCTCACTTCTTTTTACGAAAAATTGTTGTTCTCCTATGCTTGCGAATAAAGAAAAGTGTCGATTAGCTCTGATTTCTTAGCGTGACGGAATGTTACCGTATTTTTCATTATTCAAGTCGCCATTGTAGCAGCGTACTTATACGAATTACGATATGGAAATACCACACTTATTCTTGTAATAGGATTTGTATAAGAGCATTTGTATAATAACTTTTGCTATTTTCTCATTCATTAGTGGTCCCGCGTGGAACGCGACATAATTTAAGAACGGATGAGTTCATTTCAGAACAACCTTTTTGTTTGAAGGCAGAAGAAAAACGGAGGAAAATTACCTGCGTCTTTATAGAATGTACAGTTTGCACAAACGTGGCTCTGTTTCCTCTTTTACTGTTTACTCTTCTCTGTTTCCTGTCTCCTTCTTTATTTTTGGCACGTTAATGGACCTAGAATCGCACACAGCGAAGAACAGCAATTTCCCAAGCTCGAGAATTAATCGTTCAAACACGATAATACCAGGTGATTGTGATAAAACGAAAAAAAATAAAACGAAGCGTAATGCAGAGGGAAAAAGAGTAAAAGGAGATTACCAACATTAATTAGTTAATTAACGAGGAAAATAGAGGTAGATAATTTTTTAGATGATCGAAGAAAATAAATTACAGGGAAAAAAAATATTTATGCACGCGCGTGCGTACAGAATGAAATTAATATAGTTGTACGTACGCGTGTGCGAGGTGAATAAGTAAGGAAGGAAAGAAAGATGCGAAACGAGATTTTATTCACGAGACAAATGATTAATATATATATATATATACATAATTGATCTTAAGGACTGTATTAATCGTCACACAATTAGAGAAAAGAGAACGATAGAGAGGTATACAGTTATAATGATTAATTAACGAGAACGTTAGAGTAATTAAATCGTAATGATTAAAATCGTAATGATTAATAATTAAATTCGGTGCATTCGTATGCGCGTATACATTAACAGCAGCAACGTAAATGGTGTACTTGTATACATGAATAATAATAATAATAATACGAATATTATTATTACGATTATTATATATATATTATACATAAAAATATATATATATATTATATTGTATACACATTAGTGAATGTTCAATGTTGAAATAAAATGCATATACGTTGTTTACACTATCCGAGCCTTTTTTCTCCCTCACCAGGTTTTATTTCTGTTCACTTTTTAGTTTAATTCATTATCAAAAATCATTTATTCCCGGCGATAAAATGTCTAATCGAGATGAAAAAGTAATTTATTTTATGGAGATCTAAAATTTTATGGCCATGGAGGCAGATGATTAAATGTACCATAAAAATGAACCTCTCAATTTCATCAGGGAAATATTAATTGACACTAAAAACCGCGAGGAGTTTTCAAAGAACTACGGAAGTACGTCGTCGTAACTCAATCAATACATCAAGAGTTTCTCTGTCGCACCCTTTCATTTGGATATCTCCCAATCCCCAAGGAAGAAACACAATCTGTTATAATGGGCAATGTTTTATATTGGCAATATTTAATTTAAAAAAAAATATTGTGCGTGTCTCAGAATATTCTGTGTATATTTAATTTTGGTTATCAGGATTTCGGAGTTTGATTTGTATGGAGTATTATCTCTACATTTATGATGTTCGAAGCTGCGCAATATTTCAACCAAAAGGGAGTAGAAAGCAACCAGATATTCATTCATTTAAACTTTATTGAAATGTTTGTTTATGTTATTTATTCACACACGTGTAGCCACTCTGTTTATTAATGGCCCTCGAATGTATAATCAATTTTTACTAATTTATATTTTATTATTTCATATTGAAATTGCCAAGAAGAAATAAATCGCAGTTTAATAATAATCAATAATATGGTTTGGTCAACGCAGCGGATTTTCTCACGGTGTCCGACCGATATTTTAAATTGCTCGTTGCACTGTTAATTTTAGAGTTTATTTGCCAGACAACGAGAGGCAGAGAAAAGGAGAGAACGTGTTGAAAGCGAGAAACTCGTTAAGAGATTCGATTTAAACTTCACCGCTCGCCTTCCACTCGCGATTAATATATTCAATTGATACGTTTCTTTCAAAGGAGAAATGTCTCTTTTGAGACATTCTGGATGTATGCAGATCCACATTAAATTTCAACAAGTATCCAACTACGATTACGGGTATTGATATTCAATTATTTCAAATACGAGTCAACACGAGTTCAGGCAAAAATACAGAAAGTTCTTGGTGAAAAAACTTTGATTAAAACCAGAAAATAAATAATGAAACACCTGGCTCGAAGTTCGGGGATGTGATCTGTTTAATAAAATAAAATGTCGCACGGAATCTCGATGCAGCCGAGGCAACGCGTGTAACCAGCATTAAAAATTGAGTGAGGAATGCAATAGAAGAAGACAATTTATTCGCCGGCACGTTTGAAGAGTCAAGAGTGAAGCGTAGAAACAAGAGTGGCCTAGAGAGAAATATATGGATGTAATTTTGCGGATATCGATTTTCTACCTTTATGTCAAATAAATCGAGTGGCGTGTCATCGTCGGGACATTTTAATTCAGCGACCCCGGCGCTCGAGTTCCCAAGAAAGATGAACCGGCGAATCCGATCGATTCTATATAGATAATAAATTGAGACATCGAAACACGATTTTCGTTCTCCGACTGCCATCGTTTAACAGCTCGTATTTTCTCGACTTCGAATTCATTTTCTAGCCAGTTTCATTGATGGAAATATAGACGTAGTTCGTTGTAAATTTTCGGAGAATGCAAACAATCGACGTGGAACTAGAATTGTATACAACTCGATGTATTGCGCTGTTATTCAATCTAAAGGGAGCAGTTGAATGTAAAATGAAATGGGAAACTGTGTATGTACCTTTCTTCGATAATGGTAAATATATCTTTATGTGAAAACAAAGGGAACCATAATCGAGAAATATTTTATGGCCTCGCTTATGCTATCTCGTAACAGTTTTTGGTATTGGTTACAAGATACGTATATACGGTATCGCCGAAATAACGTGCGCGGAATGAAATATAGAAAAGTAAATTGGTTTCAATCGGAGGTGTAAGAAGAGAATTTTTACTCACCATACAAAATCCGATTAGAGGGAAGGATGCGAATGGAAAAGAAAAGTAATCCTTCACTTCGCGAGAAACAAGAAGAGGTACACAATCTGTTTTGTGAAAGATAATTGACGTGAGGAACGATCGGGGGTTTAATATAATGTGGCAGAGAAATAATGCCACGGGATAATACTCTTCGCGAAAGTAGAATTTTTAAAATCAAATAATTCCCTCCTCCCACGAGGAGATACATCATGTTCATAGGCAAGATCGATCATTCTTAATACGTTTGAAACCGTGAATGTAACAAACTGGAACGAACAAAATTGTCAATATCATGCAGTAAATGTATGAGGTCTCGAGGTAGATATTTTTTTTCTAAATATATAAAAAGGAGTGTTACGGAAGTGCACGGCTGGGAAAAAAGGCGAGAAACTTGGAAGATGTTTGTGTCAGGCGTTCGATGGCAAAAATGGTTTTAAGCTCTTTCGACCGACAATCGCTTTTGCGTAAAACTTTCCCAAGTATCGACATGTGTATATATATACATATTGTATATGTGTGTGTGTGTTATACTCCTTTCGAACCTCTCATCTACATATCAAATCGAGGGGCAAAGTTCTCCAAGCTTTATGAACTCGCTGCCTCCCTGAGATATACTCCTTCCTTTGATTGAAATTTACTTTGAAAGCGTACACAAAAACGTTCTCGGACGGACCGTGTACAATCTGCCTGCCTAGCTACTGTGCTTCAATACCAGAGAACTGAACAATGCAACTTCATTTGCCTTCTTTTTCGAGGTAATTACAGTCCGAAGAAGTTAGCCGGGAAAACAATCTATACAGAACTATACTGTGCACTTAGACAGCTCGATGACGACATTAAACTGATAATATAAGACGAAACTTCGCTACTTAGTAACAAACAGAATTGCATTACTTTAAAGCAGTAGTAGTTTAACCTTTTCCAGCGATCATTCGTTAATTAATACAATTTATTTCATTTCATTAGAACTTCAATTTTCTGTTCCTTTTCGCAACAACGATAGACGCGTCATATTAAACTGTCTCACCATTCTGTGCAAATTACAATTCGTGCAGGCCATTACGCGAGGAAGTAAGAACGGAAACGGGTGGCCAACCCGGTACAATTGTAGTTTAATCTACGTGGAACTGTTTAAACAAGAACAGAAATGTGCTCTTTCGGTGTGTAGAGACAATGACTCGTTAACTAAAAGTACATACGTAAGTACACACGTACGCGTCAAGAGCTGTGCTGAAAATTCAAAGCAAGCGATTTCGATCTCACTGACAGACCGCCCTCCGGGTCGATGGAAATAGACAACTGCAAATAACCGGGAATTCGGATCTATTAATTCAGACATAACGAGGGAGGAGCAGTGTAAGAACCTGTTTATGAAAAACGGACAAAGCGTCGTGCGGATATTAAAGTCGACTGCTGCGGGTATAAAATGTGAAAAACTGTTCAAACAGGATTTCATTGAAAAATGTTCGTATACGACAGCAAAAATGAAAAATGCATAGCATACTTTTTATTCTTCCCTATTGAACTTTCCCATCCTTACAGAAGATTGAGTGTCAGCCTAACAAAATAATTCCACCTTCGACGCTGCTGCGAGTCGTCTATTTCTCTCTAGGATACGCTTCCTATTTGGAAACTTCGGAAAAACTCTGTGCCGCGCAGAATAAACGAGAGTCCAGAGATATACATGCGATATTAGAAGAATACATCGGCTGGTACAGCATGTAAGTACACAGGATGGTCTATGTACGTCGTATAGCTACTTTCCAATATTTGTCGAATACGATCAGCGACATGTGTCCCAGCAGTCTCTTGTGTGCAATGGGATAGTCTTCTTTTAATAACAACCGGCTTTCTTTAATAAAAAGCAAACAATTGGTACATAAAAGGCGGATGTAAAAACGTTATAAAGTCCCAATACATAAACAATTTTAATTACGAATATAAAATTCTTGTCTAATTGTTTGATTATCGTTTGTAGCTTGAAAATGTTATAGCGTACAGAATCAGTTGCTCTTGGAAATTATAGCAATTTCGGTGCAAATGCTCTCTCAGTGTTCGAACGCGTAGGACAATTGCATGATTGATGGTTCAATTAATCGTGATGGGTAAACAAACGGATAATGCATAAGGCTAAAGGAAGAAATTATTAAGCACAATTCAAGTGGTACATGAAAGCAGTTGAACACGGGGGTGAGTTTGGTAAAGGGAAGGAAAGCGGGGAAAGGGATGAACTGCGTCTGCGTTTGGATTTCGGGGCGGCTGCAACAACCATAGCGTCGCGGCAACGGCATTAGCTTAGCCGACGTCGCACCGACCCGACGGCTTTTCGGTGCAACCACGTTGCTCGTTTCCTCGTGATTATTCGCTTGTTGCGTTTTCGCGGTGTGACCACCATCCCGATCCCCTTGAATTAAATAAAGAATAGAAGAATCACGTAAATCAATTTAAATACTTTTACATCACGCACTGTTTAAATCCAATATTTAAAAACGTGTGCTCCGTCGTGTTTCAATATTTCGGATTTTCTGGAATAGCGCAAAATACGAATTTAATTATCACATCGTATTCCTCTAAATTCTATTAGTTTACGCCATTTAAAAAGAAACATGTGTTTTATGAGACTTGAAAAGCTCAATTTCCATACTATTTGAATGTCAAGAAGTGCGCGTTTCAAATAAAAGAGAAGACTTCTTGAGAGTGTGCGAACAATTTAAATGGTAAATTGTGCGAGTAGCGAGAGCGATGCAAATGAAACGTAAAATCGGCGAGACACACGCTAAGACAAAATGTTTTTCGATTCTCACGGGGGAAATTGAAAGGAAACGTTTTCGGTGAAATCGTCGTGCCGGCAGAATCTCGGGTCTGCTTCTAGTAGATCGTTACGGATAAAGGACCATTGCTCGAGAACCCGTAAAAAGGATAAGGCGTCGCAGCGGTGCTTTAAAGGGACCCTTTTTAAAGGATCGGAAACGAAGTCGGGGGAACTTTGAAGATTCGCTCCCGGCTTGAGTAGGAGTCTAAAGAATCTTTGTATAATTCCTGGTACTTTTCGAGGAATCAACAGTGATTCGAGGAGAAATAAACGAAACTAAAAATACTTCATAATGCGAAGTTACCTGAAGGAGTGTGTTGAAGGAAAAATACTTTTTTCACTTAGCGACGGAGACGAGATTCTTTTTTAATTCACGTTACGGGATAAACTGACTGAGAACGACAATAAGGAAGTAATTAAATAATTCTTGCTTTATGAAATATATTTTAGATGAGACTCAGCTGTCATTACGAGCCAAGCTTCTGAGAATGTTCGAATTTATTTTATGAGGATAGCCACGTCCTCGGAATCTTTTTCAACATTTATAACGGATTTCGTCTTGTAATAGACGATCTACTTCTTTTAGAGGGACAGACATTCATAAATAGCTATCGTTCTGATTTTAAACGACCGTACGATCACTATTTCTATATCAAGAACAACGACAGTTTAGTTTGTACATAAAAAGAAGTGGATGAAATTATTATCCAACTATTAGGATATTCAGGCACCGGACATGCATATTTCATTGGCGTAACTGCGCCTGGAGAATACAGTTTGATAGACGAGATAACGACGAGAGGCATTAACGCAAACGAGGGAGGAAGTGGAGGCGAATGCATGATCGAAGTCGCGTGAATCCTAAATAATCATGGATCTGAACGCGTCGTCGAGTGACTTTTGCAATTTGTCGTGGTTTCACGAACGGTATACGCATCTGCACGGTTGGATCTCGCTATTCGTTTGCATATTCGGTTCGATCGCAAATATTTTGAACATCCTCGTCCTGACCCGACGGGAAATGCGATCACCGACAAATATAATTTTAACGGGATTGGCCGTGGCAGATTTGCTCGTAATGATCGATTACATTCCCTACGCGTTTCATCTCTACTTGTATCGGCGATCCAGGCGGGATACCTTCACTTACGGATGGACGATTTTCGTGCTGTTCCACTCGCACTTCGCTCAGGTAACATCTTTCAACGTTTCTATTAAAAGTTAGAAAAATGCGGAATCATATTTTAAAACGTAAAGAGAACGAATTGGCTGACACATTATTAAGAGACGTGGAAGCATTATTTTATATGTGAAGGATAATATGAGAATTCTTGGTGGATTAAGAATTGGTACCCGATAATGCTGAAGCGATTATTGTGCCAGTGACCTATAAGGTCTTTCATGGTAGGTATTTACGGTACCTCGCATTCTTACGAACCGTCATTTCATTGCATTGCTTGACGAGGATTGACCTACATGTTTGAAAACCAATCAATCCGACGCTGCTTCTTTAATTAAAGACCTAGCCACGCACTCAGCAAGACGCGGATTTACCTCTATTCAATTTCGTCTCTAATTCTATCTATCGCGAAGACGTAACGCGAAATGCTTATACAAGTTTCTCTGACAAAACGTGAATGCGGTTGTAATATTATAGAATCACAAGGAAAGTTTTCTGACTGTGTTAAGTTGAAGCAGAACGGTACACACAGAATTGTGGTTCGGTATTGTAAACTCGCTCTCCTCTAAACAGATGTTACAATCGTAAATATTCTTTTTTTGTATCCACAAATTTATCGTCGTGGAAACGAACCAGAGGTACACCCCTTCGTCGCCACATGTATAGTGTAAAAGAAAAATTAACGAAAATAGAACGACTGGTTTTCATTTTAACGATGCGACTTGTCGCACGGAAAAAAATTTACTCAGAATTCGACGCACGGAATTTCGATTGAATTTTCGCAGGTCTGTCACACCATTTCAATTTGTTTAACTTTGATACTGGCCGTGTGGAGGTACGTGGCGGTGGCGAGGCCGCAACAGAACAGAGAGTGGTGCAGTTATAGGAGAACTATTTTCGCGATTTCCATTGCGTACGTCTTCTGTCCTGTTCTCTGTATACCTCTGTATATCACAACAGAAGTGAGAAAACAAATAGAGGTTCTGGATTCCAACGGGATGAGCGTCAATATGCAAAATCGAAGTCTGATCGGTAAGTAACAGTCTGGTATACACAATTCTCCTCGCTTTTCTTAATATTTTTGTGTATAATTGTCAGATTAGATTTATAGGAGAATAATTTTTATTTTTGATGCAAGTTGTTAATACTTCATGTACTCTATATAGCAGATTGGTGAAAAATTGATTGGAATTTTTTATATCCTTACTATGTGTGCAAACAAATTTGCAACGTAGCGTAAATATTGAGAATGAATAAAAGTCGTCAGTTATTGTGTTGCATAGAAATGGACACAATCCTCTAACGAAATCTCTCGTGCCAGTCATCAGATACAAATTGATTTCCAAAGTTCTTTCTTTGGTTGACAGAGCCTTGCACGGTAAAACGTTATTGTGTCGGCAGATCTTATTTTCAACTGCCCTATCTCGCTCAGCCCACTTCTAACACGATTTACGAGCTCGGTAATAAAAGTCACGCGATGTGTTAACATCTGCCACTCTCGCATTGTTAATAATATTAAAAAATAAGCATACAGAATGTTCAACTCAAATTAAATTGCTATCTGCGTCGTTACGCTTCCGTTTCGCTGAGAGACACGTGTATGTAACTAAACAATAGCCTGTACTTAAAAAAACTTTCGTGAGGCTCTGTCCCAAAGGGATTTTAACCGTTGCACGGCAATATCGTTTAGTTATCGCTATAATAACTTGTTCCTCCTTTTTTTTTTTTTAGTTGACCCAATTCATTTGCTTATCTACCTTAATAAAGTGCTCTTAAGTAACTCGAAAATAAATATACCGTAAATTAAGACTTTCTCGTACCTGGCTTATCTCAATTCTTTGTTACGCAATGTATTTAGGTAAACATATCGCGCACCATCAGTTATTTGCTTAGCTTATTTTCATATTTCGCTGCCCTCAGCATTCAAATAGTAAGTGCAGTCTCGTAAAAAAAAAAATTAGATCAACTAGTTTCCTACCAATTAAAATCTGGCCTTGGAATTAGAAATTTTCGATTGCCAATTTCGTAACGTTTAGCAGTTAACTTTGTTATGAAAATTTCGTTCGTGACAGCTTGCTGTTCGGCTGCCCCGTGGGAGAGTATCGCACATCTAATTATAAATACCAGGTGTCCAGTATAAAATGACATTAGACTAGTTTCATGGCAAATAGTTTCTAAATAATTATCAGATATTTGCAATCGATAAAAGAGAACTGAGAAAGCACATTGAGGCATTAAAAATTGTATGTAAACGTTTTAAACGAATGTTGTTTGCACGTAAAAGTTAAGTTCAAAGGCAGTGACATTGATATTACGTATCACTGTAAAAGAAAAGAGCCATTCGTATTACGTTTGATCAACTTTACTACGAAATTCGGGTGAATTTAATTGAAAATCGAATCACAAATCCCATCCTCTTCCTGCTTTATTAACATATCGATGAATTAACGACACCGTACGGAAAAGTGAGGATCATGTTAAAATGACATTATACGAACGGAATATATTATTATAACATTAATATGTAATAATTAAATGATTTATTCTCTCACGTGCGTATTTTATTTTTTAAAAAACGCATCGCATTTGTGAGTCAATTAGACAAAAATTTACACATCCATATTCTTGCGATTTTCCGTCCGTAATTTCATATTAATTAAAAGCAATTTAAAACCAACGTGATATGAAATACACTTAGAATGATGAAAAAGTATTCGCTCACGGTATCAAACAATTTTAATTAATTAACACTCTAAATATATCTCCCGCCGTTTTCTATCTTGTCGCATTAAAGTCGCGTGTTCGTTACAGAATACTTTATTCTTTCTTTTATCCATTATTTCTCTATGGTTATCGCGTCGAAGTCTGTCAAGTGGGGAAATTTGTCTAGATTACTCAAACGCCACGAATACGACGCTCTACTTCGTCCGAATGACGGAAACGGCGGCGAACCATAACATTCTGACGGAACTAAATTTCTGGATCTACAGCGTCGTGATTAAACTGATTCCATGCGTCGTTCTTACGATCGTCAGTGTGAAACTTCTCCAAGTACTATTGGAGGCGAAACGGAGGAGACGGAAACTGACGAATATTCATGAGGAGAATTTCGATAGGAAAAAGGGCTGCCGGAGAATGGACAAGGAGAGACAGACCGACCGAACGACTATGATGTTGCTGGCGGTGTTGTTGCTTTTCCTGTTGACGGAACTACCGCAAGGGATACTGGGTCTTCTCAGCGTATTACTTGGTCAGGGATTCTTCCTGACTTGTTACATGATGTTAGGTCAGTATGGTAAAAGTTCGAACGTTCCCTCATACGATTACTCACTGGGTCGTATTAAGCTCAATTCCAAAGATCGTCTTATGTGTCGATATTATGCAAGGACGTCTTTTCAAAAGGCTGTAATATATGGCCTCCATGTGATGCTTCCTATTTAAGACGAAATTAGACGGCGAACGTCAACGAGAACCATTAACGGCACGTGTGTCGCATTAATTCAAAATACGTGATGCAACCGCAGATGCCATTAAAATACGTACTATTTATAGCGAATATTACGAAAAATAATCCTACATTTCGTATCTTATAATGATCGTTTAATTGGTATTAATGGCAAACAATTCTGTCTAATTTAAACTAGTAAATTAATTGCGAGAAGTCTTTGAACTCCGAGAAATCGTAAGACGCGCAAATACATCATGGTTAAAGTTGCAAATTGCAGTATGAATCATCATTGCTATGCTTAATGGCACGAAGAAATGCATCAATCAAATACGGAGAAGCGTATTGAACGCGTAGAACGAATGTTCTTGATGCACGCTTCATTTCCAAGTAAATCGCCTTTAAATATTCATGAAACGCGCAGCATATCTTTAACACGTCACTTATCGAACCTTCAATACTTTTTACTCTTCTCTTGTCACGAAAAGTGCTTAACCATCCTACGTTCCCTCAATGCTAAGTTGAAAATACAATAATTATAAATTCTTACGGATACATTCCCGTTCGATAGGTTTCATCAATTTTAAACAGGATTTTTATCCCATTCGTGATCCGTGCAAAAGTACGAACTTGTTATTCGGGAAACTGCTACACTTTTCACAATTTTTCCGGCTGTGTCACATGGCGTAGTTTCCGAATCGATAGATTAATATCCGGGCAATGGATATTTAACGGTGCGTATCCGTGATCCTTATATGTATATATATATATAAGGATCACGAAAGGTTCACGTCACAACGCAGTATAAAATACATCGGATCTGTAAGAGATGCCTGGCGTAAGACCATATTTAATACGCGGTTACAAGGCTGGTTCCTATACACGAACTACCCGCAAGAAATTGGTTCCTTCTAAGGAAAATACAGTAACCAATTTTCCTTGTAATAACTTTGCTTCACTTTTAATTATTCTCGAGATACCGATTCAGCTTTGAACTTGCAACGGTTTGCAACAAGCTTTTTAAAACTCTAGCCATTATCGAGATAATAAACACATTTCGCATTTACTATCATCGTTTCCTCTCTCTGTTGAACGATATAAAAATGTATGAGAATGTTTTCCCGTGGGAAACGGACTTTACACGAGATGGAACCAGATATCGGTTATTTTTACTACAAAAACTGCGTTCGCTATTGTATCAGAACTAAAAGGATACATAATACCCATTCAACAAATAATTCTCAGCGCACGTGGAGCCAGATTAAAAAGGCAGAAACTAGCGAGCGAATTGTAATTATTATTTCTTGCAATCGTGAAATTTCATAATCCGCTAATGAGTTCTATATCTCTGGCTGCGTTTCATATTCGTCTCTTAATTTGTATGGCGATATAGTAAAATTCAATTAAAAATCATTGGCTGCCATGAAGGAGATAAAGTATAACTGAATTTAATTCTTGTAGTAGAAGTACTTACTACTTAGCCTAACGCGCACAATTTTTCGATAACTGGGTTTGAACATGATGTCCTCGAGCCGGTGGTAAAACTTGAAAAGAGAGATGAATTTACGTGAAACGAGTGAAAAATGTATGCACAATAATATTTTCTATAGAACGTCTCATTCCTGAATAAATCAATTCTGTAGACTCGAGTATGTGTGCACTTTCGAGTACTTTCTACATAGCAAGCCACAAGGACCATTTTTATCTTCGTGCATTTAGTAGTTCCTCGAAAAATGAATTTACCAAAACTACGACTTATTTCACAAGCAGAACCAAGGACTTATTTTCAGAAATTGTAAGTGATAGAAAGCGCGAATAATTTCCTTACTTGATAAAGAAAAGGCTGAGTGAAAACATTTTTACTTCATTGCTCATCCTTTACTATCTGACTGTAATTGAATACCGATACGAGAACTTTAACGATATTTATCGGACGCGGGTGTAAGTGAGATTACACGCGAGTGTGTTCGATGAATTTCCAACGTCAACTTACATACTTAGAATTAAAGTCTCGCATTAAAAAATGTTACCTCATATTTTTTATTAGCTTTCTGTGTACGGATTCGTCTTTCTGTTATACAACCAGTTCGACGATATCTTGTGCATACTATAAGGCGAGAATTAATTATAAACTTAATTCGTTCAGATTAATCATTAGTATTTCTAAACGTGTGACGTACGTTAACATTATTGTACGTTTTCAGGTGATGTCATCGACATGTTGACTCTCGTTAACTCAGCCATAAACTTTTTTCTGTACTGCACGATGAGCAGGCAGTTCAGGAAGACGTTCAACGAACTTTTCTGCAAAAGTTGGAAAGTGCCAAAAAATAACGGGAAGCAAATTTTTTTAGAAAACAACGGAAACGTAGTCGTGAACCATACAGTGACGCAGGTGACGCAGGTATAGTTAAGAAGGAAACGGTGGACTTTTCACTTCCGTGATATTTTTGTCTAACAAACGCGGATTTATTATTATCGATCCTCAGATACGTAATTCTTCGTGACACACATGATTCATTTATTATCTGTCGAGAACATGAAGGTGTAAATAAATACTAACTCTGTATATTAGGTTCACTAATGATAATAGAATTTCGTGTTTGTAATAATTCTAAAAATCAAATCTTCTTTACAAAATTCATTAATATTTGCAAGTTTTACGAAGTTAGGAAATACCACTGCCAGGAAGATAACGATGTATATTGCTACATAAAACGCAGTAGCGTTTTATGAAAGACAATAGAGTACACGTGAACAATAAGAAAAAAATGATTTTGGCAATTCCCAAAGACTTTTACTGACTTCGACGAGTGAAACGAATTTTAAATATGATTGTGATCCAACTTGACTTAAACTATGTTTAATATATTGTGAATATCTAGAAAACTAAGTATACATTTCATTAATAATGTTCGATCTATCTCTCCATAATTCTGTGCAAAAATCTGTATATTGTTCGTAATCGTTGTTAATATTATGATAATAATCCGAGCGTATTCGCTAGTCAAATAGACATACAAATTATAATTAAATATTTTTACGGAAACATGTGTTATAATGGATAAGCCACGGTAATGTAGCAACGAATATAACGATATAAATATAAAATATATAATGACATAAGTATACATATGTAATATAAAATATATACCATGTTAAGAACTGAACTGGTTTCTATTTTCTCCCTATTACTCTGTAAGTTTTAAGTACGTGCACCGAGGAGAGATTACTATAAGGAGTTGCAGCCTCATGGGACTGTCCCATGGAAAAGTTAGTAATTGTTTACACTCTTTAGAATGTATTGCCACCGAAATAAAAAATAGAAAGCAAACCACTAGTCAGTGTTGAACTGTTACCAGATATAAGAAAGGTCTTATGTAATTTTCTTTGAACTGCACTGAAAAGAGGAATTGCCGACTGTGTTTTGAGCCCCATTGGGTCCCATTTGCTGTCCCAACGATTACATGTCCACTTTTTAATAGTATCTTCATGGTGGTTAGAGAAAAGAATAAAGGGCCATTTTAAGATTCGGTCTAGAAATTCAAAACTAAAGCTGCTTTCGTTATTGCATTATGCAGAAGTCCTGGAAGGCCACCTACATTTTTCACTTTCTTTTTATTGCATTCTTCAGGGTGAGTAGAGGTTTAATAATTCAAAAGTTAGCGCTGATTCGACTGTCTGTTCTTAAGCACCCTCTACTGTCAGATTCAAGTGCTAACGAAGCCAATGGCGGAAAACAGCTTGTTTGGGACGCTAAGAGGTATTCACCGACCTGGGAACGCTGAACGAAATCCGTTACCAATGTGAGAAGAAAGTGAAATTAAGCGGTGCTGGCTTCGAATCTGTTGTTCTAGTGGTGAAAGACGTTAGCAAACATCTTGTAAACGTCGATGCACACTGTGCAGCTGTAACCGCGAGTACGCATAGAAGACGCTTCGAGAACGAGTGTAAAAGGTACGTTCACCTTTATCCTTTTAAATCTTTATTTCTGTACTAATCTTTCCATTCCTCTATAAATCGTCCTTTTCTAAAACCGGCTTGCGTGAAGGAATGTTCCTCGTGAGTTGAAATTTCGCACAGCAAACGGAACAAAAATTGCATGCCTTTCTCTTACTTTTTTTGTTAATACATTTTTAACTTATAGGAGACAAACTGCTGTACCTATGCTTTCATGCTAATATACTCCTTGATTTTCTCACTATTTCAGCGATTGTTAATTTACTATTGTAAATGTTTAATCAATGATTGTAAGTTCAGCAATAAAGTATAGAAACAAATAAACAATTTCTATTGTTATTTGATATTCGTTGCATCAGTTTCAAACACTGGATCAATCTCACGAATTTCTCGATTGTCTGATACAACGAAATCCAAGAAATAATTTCAATAAAATGTCTTGACGAATTCTTATAATGTTTACTCATTCCCGTATAATACCTCATGTGTCTTGTGCACGGGAAATTCTGTAGATATTAGTATTTGATAGGCTTGAAACTAAGGGTAGTTTTAATGTTCTGGGTTAATGTGTTTTTAATTAAGCATATTTTCGTTTTGTATTCACGAAATGTGTACGGTGTCGTTTATACCCAGTCTTTGAAGAATTATGAGGCTGCAGATTTAAAATTTACAACTTTGAACCACTGCACGAAAGGGACTTTTAAAACTGCATCACGTGTTTTTATGCGTTCGGTGTTATAAAAATCACGAAATTTAAAAAGAGTTAAATGCAATTTAAAGATATAAATCAGACATTTATTAGCGTTCAGGAAGTCTAGATTGTAGTCTTAACCGAATGCAGTCGAGCGGTTATCGGTTTCACATAAATTACACGTATATTGCAAGGCTGTGGTTGGTTTCGCGCGGTCACGAGACGAATTCAGTGTGGTGGAAGCGTCTCGTTCGGTAGTTCGAACAATCGTCCCTCGACCTTAATCGAAAGGCGTGCCCTTGAACGTGTGCCGATTCGAGGAAAGGTCGATTCGGTAGAACTGGCCGTATATAATCTTCATAAAGAAGTTTGTTTGTTTGCGATAAGGCGGCCTGGCTCTACCACAAGGTAACACAGACACACGATAACAGGCTCTATGAGGCCCATATACGCGAACGAACTGAAATGAGAACATAGCGTGTCTCTCGATTTCTCCGTCGAAACGTTCCAGGAATCCTCTCTGAAATAGTCCTCGATCTACCGATGAACGACGGTCCCGCTCGTTTCTAGCAATCTTTATCATTCCGGCTTTATAGTCGTTGTCGTTGGTCGTCGTCGTGTACAGTTCCTCCTCTTCGGCTTTCTAATTTACTATAGCGCGCCGGAACGCGACATTATAAAATCATTTAGATTCCTGTGAAAGTATGCTTGATCGTTGCAAATTATCTGCTTCGGGGAAACGTGGGAATTATTTTTATTCGACGGATGCCGATTAGCTACCACTGCTTGCTTTATGATTTATTAAATTATGAACGTTTACTTGCGTTCACGATTAAAATTCTTCGTGGAAGGATAGAAATATTACAGAAGTTCATGCACAGCCAGTGCATACGTTTGTATTACCATGAAAACTGAATAATAGAGAAGTTATTCGAATGGAATTTTCTATAGCAATTTCAATGTTCGTGGAATACGTAGGAAGCAACTGTTCAGCCTAAAAAAAGAGCGATTTCTTAAAAACCCGGCAATTTACCATGAAATCTCCCCCACCGGGGGCTGCATAAATGCACAATGGGACGCATTGTGCTCCTAATAACGGAATCGGCCTCCACCCATTGTTCAGGAAACATAAAAGCTTTCTGGAAATGTGCGATCTACGAAGATACGTCCCGAACGTTGTACAGACTATTACTCTCTGCGATTTTTTATTACCGAAATAAATTCCGCTGCGATGAGAACGTAACACCGTTTATAACTAACTTTTACGTTCAATTTATTTTCTTTGAAACATTTAAAATAGTCAGGAAAATTTTACGAACATTTTTGCAATACTATTGAAATAAAATATTTTGTACCAGCGATCTTTTCAACAGATATCTCGATGTTTTCTATCACTTCAATTATAACAAACCTGTGTCCTGTATTATCTATTGACTAATCTCTGTTATTTATTATGTTAATAATTTGTAACGTACGAATAAAACTTAATCCGAATTTATATTCACAGCTGACGCTCGACGGTGACGTCGTAATGAAAGTAACTGTAAACTGGGAAACGCGATTTTCTAGTAGACGTAACAATTAATAATAGATGTAAAAGGTTCTCCTTGATCGAAGTGTGCGAACGGCCGTGTAAAAGAAACGTCATATTGTCTGCTGGCCGTGTATTTGAAAGCCGTGACTCACGACCAGGTGTTCCTTTTTTGGGTTCCGTGTATCGTCGGTAGGAACTAACGTATTTTCCCTATAGTTAAGGGTTTCGTGAAATTCATGCGACCTACGCGGAACGATTCGACCGGTTGTACCACACACGTACATATATGTACCTCTCGGTTATCTGTTTTAACATATGCACATACGGAAATCGTTACCTCGTAGCTCATGTTTAATTCATATCTAACAATCATCAGAGATAAAAGCAGCGCGTTTTTGTCTGTTGTAGGTAGAGGAACGATTTCATAATCGCGAGAATTCTGAACGAAGTGCGAAAGGTTATTAATCCTTCATCGTAAAATATATAACGGGTATAAATTATAATTTTCTTTTCGATCCGGTTACTTAACATCATTCCAGTTGTATATAATACCTATCGTAAAACCGAGTGCAGTGCGAATATCGCTCTTTTTATGCAGTCGTTTAAACCTGGATTACCTCGGTTGATAAACATACGATTTACGAAGTACCTCGAGAGAGATTTTTAAGAGTTGATTGTTTAAACATGTCAGACGTTCTTTTAATAAATGCACGTATATGGGCAGTAAAAAATCATTGCGATGATCAATGCGAAATTCCGAAAAATAGATTAACCCTTCAAATAAGATTTTACTGTTTCCAGTAAAAATGTTTAAAAAAAAACAAATGATTTCGAAGTAAGTAAATATTGTCGGATATCTAGAGCGAATCGGAAAGTTCGCAAAATATTTGAAAGGAAGAGTAACGAGGAGGGAGTGTAAGCGTATTTTGTTAAGAGAAACTGGTATTGTGCCATCGGCTGGATTCTTACGGATTTATTCTTGGAAATGAACAAGAATAACGTGTCTTAGGTACGAGCACCTCTCTCTGTCTCCTTTCTCCCTCTCCTTTTTTGTCTCTCTACCAGGATCCTTCGTCAATAGATGCAACTATCACCTTCCCTTCATTCTCCAATACATTCTCAAGCAGAAATATAAATGAGTACATAAATAGAAAAAAAATTGATATATAAAGAGAAGTCTATTTCTATGCTAGCGTTTTTGTCTGCATTGAAAATTGAAAGGAAGGAAATAGTCGGAAGGCGCAGCAGACCATGTCGCTTTCCAAGAAAGTCAATTAAAATTATCCACAGTTGTCGATCGCAGTACGTGCTCGAAAACATCTGGCGATTAATCATTGAATATAAATAAATAATGATCGACAGACGTTACTTTTTAAAGGTAATTAACGCGAGTACGAAGAATGATAAGTATACGTCTAATTGAGAATTATAAGTGCTCTAACGCATTCGAGTTGTTACATAAATGAAGTTTGGTAATAGGTGCGTGTAAGTTGGTCAGGAATGCTTTGATCGCATCGCGGAAAGATTTGTGGAAAGCTTTTCGAACAGCTTTTGTTATTCTAAAAGGAACACCGCCTGACCGTATAATAGTTCGTGAAACGTTTGCCAATGTCGAGAGTACGTACCGGCTGGGGAAGGGATTAGTTAGGTCTGGCAGCGGGAATCGATTGGCAGCCAAGATCTTTAAGTGTACGGCGTCAAATCGTCGGAATTCGTGACGTTTCGACGAGAGGGCCCACGGAAATACGAACTCGTAAGTGAGAACGATGACGCGATAGCGCAGGCGGATCGCACGTAAACCAGTTAAAAGGAATCCATTTTTCCGCGAGCCATGTGCTCTGTCCGACATAGAATAGCGATGGCTTCGATCGTCTTCCGTTAATTTATACACGTCTGTTATATTAAAGTTGAACAAACACCCTCAGTTTTATATGTAACTGTAAATCTAATCAAAAGTCTAAGTCATTTTTCACTGTAATTTTACTATTTTCTTAACAAAGTGTGACAATGTATTGAAACAAGTTATTCCTCAAATATCTGATTCCAGTCTTTATATCAAAGGGAGATACTACTATATTGACATATTCGGTTTCTTTTAAAATCCTTATCTACTACTGACTTGCAGTTTACGATAAGAATAAGAACGTTCATGTGGGTTAATTGCTCGGTCTATGTAGGTCAAGGAATAGCATGAGTATCTTGTATTGCTATCACTTACTATTTGAAATTTTATCTCGATCCCGAGTACTGGTTGTGCTCGGTATCAAAGCCATCACTGGAAATACGCGTTCTCTGTTCCCTCAACGAGTCTTCCACGATTTCCACCACCACGCGGCGGGGATCACGTGCACGCTCCCACCCGGGTTCTCTACAAAAGCAATTATAGATTCATTCAACGGCAGCAGCGGCAGTCCAGTGCTGCTCTGACTTTCGCGCTCTCGCGTCGATGATACTGCTTCGTCGTTGTTAGATGTGACACTTTGCCGATCCTTCGATACATAATAAACGCTGTGCGTTCGCAGAACTGTATCACGTTTTATGTCACAAGCCCCTATCGTATTTCCGGCAAGTCGAGGAATACCATAAATTTGAAAACCTTTCGATGTGACTCGAACAAGCAGTATTTTTAGTAGTGCTTGAAGCTATTTTCGAGACGTGAGGTGAAAGTGGAAGTGCCTCCACGGAGAGAAAGAGGAGAGGAGCGTTTCGCCGGAGATTTCTTCTTCCCGGTTGTCACGAAAAATTACGAGCACTTATCGGTAGGCATCGTCTCTTATAGTTCTTTAAAACTTTATTACCGCGTTTCCGAGAATTCAATGTGCTATACGTGCCTTTTTTACATCATCGTCAATACATTTTCATTGGTTACGAAGAATGAGCCCATAAATGTTCAATGCAAACTGCTGTCATCTTTATTCGATACCATGTTAATTGTCTCAAGGGTCATCGCTTGTGAAATATTGATCAAAGTCGAAAATATGCATGCTTCCTCGAATCGATTTTAAATTCAATTCCAGAAAAAATGCATTTTTATTACTCACTTAATAAGACAATGTATCATTTCGTTCCATTTTTAATAAGTGATGCAGCAGACTTTGAGCAATCGCACGTTTTCTTAATATTCTTTTCCCAGCAGAAACTGATTAAATGTAACATCTTACATTTTTTAACTCAGTATGACAGTATTTCATGAGATTCTAAGTAAAACTAAAGAATTTCAAATAACGCATGTCTTCAAAAACTTCAATTTACAACAACACAACAGATGCGTTATTGTATCAAAATAATTTGATTGTTAAGAAGAAATCATTAATTGTTCGGCCGATGTCGCTCTAAATACTTTTAATAACAAAAGGCAGACCCATTCACGGAAGCAGGTTCATTTCCCCGAAGGACTGTAAAATAAAATTCACGCTTATCTGTAAGAGATAAAATCCGTATTACCACTCATTCGAGGAACCTCTTCTCATTTATATTTGCTGGAAATCTTGCCGATAACAAGGCCGGCTATAGCGCCGTTCATAAATAGCGATCACCTAATGAGATGCAACATGTAGAAATACTGGTTATCTCCGTGTACAATATTAATTAAAACAGTTTGCACTTAATAAGTTTTCATTAGTTATAGTATCTTATCATTAATCAATTGCAAGATATTTATAGCACTCGTTCAAGACTGAATTCTAATATCTGAGTGACCGTTGGAAAGTATCGTAGATTATTTTTAGTTCTGCTTGGTAAAAATATTTGCTTGTCATTTTATAAAATGGTAATCGTCTCCATTTATTACACGTTTCAGATTGGTACAAAGAATTGTCTGTTTTCTTTATTTCGAGTTTAGAAATACGTAGAAAATAGCATTCAGTTTAGAAGATCGTAGTTTTTGCATAGAGCTGTATACTCGAGGGGCCGTAGAGGCATCGATGAAGTTGACCAGTAAAATTAGCATTCGCTGCGACGAACTGTATTTCGCCGGCGGTACAGGTCATCAGCCCAGTTCGCCGTTTTCCGAGAAGACGAATTTCTAGCCAGACCCCTCTTCGAAACCGGGGTAGACCGTCCCCCCAAACCCCTTCTCCCTGGATTTACGATGCTTTTGAACCACCTTATGACTTGGAACGCGCATCGTAAAACTCGTTCGAAGCCACTTTTTTTTTCTCCTCCCTCCGCCAAATTTATGCACTGCTCTATCCTTCGGTTATCCTTATACATATGCACATAATAATCGTTCATGCCGACATTGACTCATTAATTTTTATTGCTCCACTTATTAACAGATTCGTTTTTCTTTTCGAATGCTTTTATAAATATTAATTGCAAATCGTTATCCACCGTTCCTTCGTCGACTATCAATTTTGCATTGTCAAGTTCGTAAATAACGTTGGACAAATACATTATGAACTGACAAATATTTCTACGTTACGCGACACGGTATGTTTTTAAAGAAATATTCGATTTATCCTTGTCGAATCCTTGATGCATTCGTAAATTCAAAATCTCTGTGTTATATGAAAAATGCATTCTCTGAGATTTCTTCTAATTTTGTAGCCCTCCATCGGGTTCTCATTCTGTTTCCTCAAATAAAACTACGACGTCCAATTCTGCGAAGTCCTCTTTGCTCGAAGAAAGATTTTTCTCTCCTCCTCTCTCTCTCTCTCTCCTTCGACCGTTTCTACTCCCCTTTAGCATTCCAACGACAGGAGAGAACAGATGGTCGAGGAAGAATGAAGACGGGGGGCTACCGTGAATAATAAAAACTCAAAATTCATCAACTCAATTCGGCGAAAACAAAATCTCTAGGCATATCTCATCGATCTCAACCGACTCCCAAGTTCCAAAGGTCCCAAGCAGAAAATTATCACATTAGATGCAAATTGTATTACTGCATAATGACATTACAAAAAATAGAGTAATGAACAGGAGGGAAAAAACGTGGCAAGAACAATTTAAAACCGATCGTAACTAAAAAAAAAGAAAATTGTAGGAGGGATAAGTATTTCAATTGCAAGAAGTAGGTTTTTATATCAACGGAAATAACGTATTCGTGAAGCAAATAGAATCAAACTCCAATGGAGATCATAATCTATAGTAGTTATCTCGTATAGAACTTTTTATCGATTACGTAGTAGGGATTTTCATGCGATTGTACATTCCAATATCATCTCAATTTCGATATGTGTCATCCAATTGACGACTATTATTTCAAGGAAGACCCCGATAACGAAAGTAGCTTGCGTCACGGAACGAAGCAGTTTCTTATTTGATCGTTTCAATGTGCAATAACCACGTAAAACCTTCGATTGGCATAAGATAAGATCTACGACTACTTCATTTCCTCTGAAACGTCAAACGCTTTCCACGAATTCAGTGTCTATCCTTGGAACGTGTTACCGTAGCCAAAATTTCTTTCTATCAAGAAT